GTTGGTACACTATTACTCTGACAATATTTTCTTTGAAAGATTCACTAAGTTGCAGAAGATCTAGTTACCTCTAGAAACTGGTCCCTGTGCTTCTCCCAGACACAATTATCATCATTTTGTTACAGAAATAAAAAATATTTATATTAACTACCCAAACTACACACTGTCCATTAGAACATGTAATAGAAATCACTGATCATCATAACCAAATTGATTAATAACAGATACCAGTGCTATCTACCTTTTAAATGAAGCCCAACCATCGTTTCTGTTCTTCCCTATGCCAGTCCAGGCCATAGCATATCATGTCTCAATAAATTAAAACATCAAAATTTAACATGTTAAAGACTTAAAGTCCAACATGTATTTTCCATGAAACCTGAACATATTTAAAGAAATAAATCTTTCAATTCCATCTGCATTAATATGTAATTAAAATCAGCATAATTCACATTTCAATACAGGAACTAAATTACTGTAGTGGGTCAAATAATCAGCCCGACATCCTGTTTCTAACACCAGCTTACCCTGTAAAAAACCACATGAAATATCATAGCAGGCACTTATAGCATAATCTGTCCTAAGAGAAATTTCTTAATCCTTGTCAGATAAGGTTGATTTACGCCCTAGAGCAGTACAGTTAGCATCCCTTCAGCTGTAGCTGTGACTGTTCCTCCCATCTCTAGAACAGTTCATTTACCTTGTTCATCCTACCAGGCTCTTGATTTATATGATCACCTTTCATGGTATACACCAAAAATGGTGATTTACAGGTATTATACACATTGTCTTTCAAACTACTCCTTGTAACAAGTATGTATAAAAGGGTAATGGCCAAGCATTATTTTGCACATGTCCATCCTACCTCCTCTAACAGACCGCCTTGAAACAGAGCTATGCTAAAATTTTCAGTTCTACTTCATATGAATATTTTTCAATCTCTCTTCATTGATAGGAGATCACAAATTGATTATTCCAGGTGAATTTGAGCACCAGTTTAACAACATCCTTTGTGTCATTAACACATTGCAAAACAACTGTGGCATTTTTCTTCTGCTCAACACTAAGCATTAAGAAGGTGCACAAGTTTAAATAAAACACTGTTGAAATCTTCCTCCCCACCTTAATAAATATAGGTAATTTACAATCCAGTAACATGAACAAGTAATTTGATTATTCCCTCTAACATGCATATTCTTGAATTTATCAACATCATCTGCTACGCTTCCCTTTTACCCAGCTTTCTTGGATTCCCTTTACAATTTCTCAGTCTTCTTCAATCTTGCCTAATCCAAATACTTTTGCATCATTAGCAAGTTTTGGCACACCATCATTCATCTAGTTTATTAGATCACCAACATACATGTTCACCACCCTCTTTTCAGAGTTGTTTCTACATCACATGGTAATTTAAAGTTTACATTGTTACTGACAAAAAAAAAAAAAGCATTCTTAGTCATAAGGACAGGTACACTGATTGAGAATTAGAAAGGAAAGTTTCAGTTTCCAAAAGACATGCTTGATGTTGAGCAAAGCTCAGTACCTAAACTCTTCACGTGAGCAGAAAATAAGAATGTCACAATAGCTGCAGGACATCAGAGGGGTCAGTGTTCTCTTCTTCCCAGGCCATCGCCCATCCAACATGTTATACACCCAACACCCTCCAGAAAAATCCTTTGGTCAGAAAATCTTCTTAACATTGGCTAAATTTATGCTTAATTAGGGCTAAGTTTATAGTCCCTTAGGTATTCTCAGAAGGTGCTTACATATAGCTGACTATAACATGTACAAGTGCTTATTAGGGCAGACATGATAGGTTGGGAAATACATTTTAAATCATACATGCATGTTCTTTTTACACACTTTGTGCTGCACCGTAGTCTAGTGTTCTTAATTCCTTCCACACTCCAGAGTTTTCCTCATCCCCTCCTACAGCCCAAAGGAAAGGGGAAGAGTCATGGACTGCCCCACATTTGTGAGGAACCCTATTCCTTCAGAGCTTGTGACATGTCTCCTCATAGATCACCTCCTCAGCTCCCCATGCACTGCAAACCAAAAGGCTTTAAGTAGAAGATGGGCACCTCACAGGACAGGCTATGCTTGCTCTGGACATGGAGAGGAAGCTCCGCATGCCCACTGAGTTTTGAGGTCCCCTCTACTAGGCACAGAAGGATAGGGGTTAGCCAGTGGAACCAAAATCATACTTTTATCAGAAAGATGGGTTTCAGCTCAGGTCTACCTCACTTTCTTTAGGAACTAATCTTTAATTATTACTTTTTAATATATATATTTTAAGAATTTTATAGGTGGAAGTACCAGGTTTCACAGAGTCTCTGAATAGAAAACCAGTAGATTTTAAAAATGGAAGCAGACATTTTGACATAACACTTCAGAGAATCTTGTGCACAGGCATACTCTCTCCTCACAGTAGGAACATCTACACGGGTAATGGTTTGTTTTCAAAGATTAGGATCTGTTCCAATGGAACTCCACAAAGTATAATAGGCCAAGGCATGCTGTACTTTGCAGTGGATTTAGACAAAAAAAATACTTTTATGGCATCTGTTCAGCATAAAAATTAAGCCTTTATTGAAATCTTCTGTAATTGAGCTGGATACACATGCACAAATATATTGCATACTAAGTATTATAGCCTGGTTCCTGCAAAGACTTGTATGTATGTTTATTATTATGTATATAAAAGAAATTCCGTGGTTTCAAAAGCACTATTCATGAACGTGAGTTTAAACACGTGTGGGGGGGGTGTCTTTGCAGGAGTAGGACCTATATGGTACTGAACAGCACTGCCTGCTGAAAACTTTTTACCTATTGTATACTACCAGAAGTTTATAAACCCCCCTCAGCTGACAAACCCTCACAACAGAGAAGGACTTGCTTCCAGCTGAGGAGCTGGAATTCAAGTATGCTTTTCACACTGCATATACCTACAGTGAATTTAAATCCAGATTAAAATGAGCTACTTAAATGACATTTAACCAAACGCAGACTCGCTGGATATGAAGAGAAACAGAATGAAGAGCAGTACTTTGGCTGCAGCAGTACCAAATAAACACAGAAAAAGGAAGCCATAGAGTCACCAGAACTATGTACATGATTATACATGCATATATATATATATATACATATATATACTTTCTCCATTATTGGAGGAGCCACTGGCAGCGAAAACAATTTGCTAAGTGCACAACAGTACATGTATTTCATAGAAAGCCATTACATACCTAAGTTACAATAACTGACTCACAGGCTTCTGCTGGACAAGAATGACCAGGAGAAAAATCTAGTGCTAACACTGGTTGCTAATTAACCCTCATGAACAACACTGCACCAAAGCTACTTCTGCTGTTCTTCCAGAAACATTTAAAAGGCACGTGTAAAACATGTATATACATACAAAAGCTCAGTTTGCTCAGTGCAGAGATGAGTCTAGCAGTCCTTGCTCTGGCCTTGATCTGAACCACCAGGATGCATTGAGACAGTCATGCTTTCAAGCTTCTCGCACACAAATGCAGCCTCAGAATTGATGGCCACAAGCTCTGCCACAGAGTTTAGGGATTACCTTTTCACTGATGGACTGTGCTTCAACACGGTAAGTTTGCAAAGCTCCTAACTTTTGTATCATGACCCGTGAGATACACACAAGTGCCCTCTGCCTGTAAGCAACTCTGGCACAGTCTTCTAAAGATACCAAAAAGAATTCAAGTACTGCCAAAAACAGAACAGGGCCTACAACTTATTTACATTACTATAATATCAACACATGCTCTATTTTACACCATGTAACAAGTACTAGATGTCAGCTACAAACTCCCTAGAGGGCAAGACCAAAAGCTGCTTAATCTGTATTTTGTCACTCATCTTTGATAGGACGTTCTCAGCTGGATAACCACAGAGCAGTCCCTGCTGGGATTGCCTCTCCTTACATCTCTCCCCTGAAAGACCTGACTACCTCCTCTCATAATATGGAGGCTGGCAGGTGGTGACTTGTGATTTGGGGCGAGCCATTTTATATGTATATTTTTCCAAACTCTGAAAAACTGCAGCATGTAACAGTGCTTTCAGAATAACCAAACCCTGTTGCAATTATCTGCATAAAGTTTAAAGAAAAAAGAACTGGCTTCTGGTAAAAACATTTCTTTCAGCTATGGTTTCAGGCTACATGCCAAAGACCCCAGAAAACTTTTTGGGCAAAAACATATTGAATCTGAGCCTTTTACCGGTCGCTGTTTGGTCCCACCTTTTTAAAGCTACAAACAGCCAAAGAGTTGCTTCTAATGGAAACATATGATTATTTTATGTAACTCAGAGATAAAACATTCTCGATAGGAAAGCTCCAGCAAGCATTATATCCACATACCACACATACATTACGTAACGCTTGTCCCAAATACACCCCAATAAAGTGAACTAGTTTGAGATCTTAACAATCCATCCACTTTGCCACATCAGAAATGAGAGCAGATGTCACTCTTCCCTGCCTCGCCGCGATCTCTTCTGCAGAACTCGTCAGAGTTACATACTTGCTGAAGACGAACGGCCAGTTTAGGCTTGACTGTAACTAACAAAGAGCAAGGTAAACCCCCGGGCGGGGGGAAGGCAAACACGGGCATGCCGCGATGTAAATACGGGCAGCCCAGCACGGAGCCCTGCCCGTTCCTCGCTATTTACAAATATCTCTTGAGTGTACAAACGCCGTATTATCTGGGTGTCTAACAGATTAAACTCACGGGCTGGACAGACAGTCTGAGGCTCGCTTTATCGCAAGTCACCGGCTGGTACTTGCAACCCAAGCTTAGCTATTTTCGTAGTTTGCAGACAGCAGTGCATACTCGGCGGAGCAGCAATAGCTCCCTGCAGCGCTTAACGAGCCCCACGCTGGCCGTGCCGATCGCACACGCCGAGTACAAGGCGCAGCTCGGGCTGTTTTAAAGTCGGCGCGGGGACGCGCCCGAGCTGGAGCGAACTCGGCGGCTCCTTACCTGCTGGCGGCCGCCCGGGCAGCGGCGGCTCCGGCTTTGTGCCTCCCGCGGGAGGCGGCTGTCCCGGCCCGGAAGGCAGAGGCTGCCGGCGGGACCCGACGCGGGCGCTGGGGAGGGAGACCAGTCCGGCTCCCGCCGCCCCGGCCCAGCCACCGCGGGGAACTTGTGCGGGGCGGCCGGAGCTGCGGCCGCCGGTGGCGGCGCGGAGGGCCGGGGCGCCCTGAGCTCCTGCTGCCGCCCGTGGGGTGCGGGAAGGAGGGAGGCAGGGCGGGAGGAGGGGACTGGTGTCCCGCGGGGGCGAGCGGGGCCGGCGGGCAGGCGAGCCGGAGGCGGCGGGGCCGGGGCCGGGCTGGGGCCGGGGCGGCGCGGGGAGTCACGGCCCAGGAATGCCAGGAATGTGGGGCGGCCGCTGCGGCCGCGGGGCCCGGAGACGTCGGGGACGCAACTTGGGATTTCTTTTCTCTTTCTCCTTCTTGTTTTTTCTTTCTTTTTTTTTTAACTCTTCCCCCCTCCCCAAGGAAGGAGGAGGGCTGAAACCCACCCCGCGGAGGAGGGAAAAGGAGGGAGGAAGAGGAGGGCGCAGGCTCCTGCCAATCCGAGCGGGTGCCGGCGGCAGCCCTCCCGAGGAGGGCAGAGCTGCCAGGTGCGGGGTGCCGGCCCTTCCCTCCTCCCCGCCGGGGGGAGCCGGCCCCTTTCCCGGCCCCTTCCCCGGCCCCTTCCCCGCCCTCCTGCCGGGACCCGCCGTGGAGCTTCGCGCACGTGTCGTCCCGGCCCGAGCGGGAGCGGGAGCACCCCCAAAAGGACCGGGGTGGGAAGGGACACGCAGGGACCTGAGGCGGGCTCTGCACGCGTGGGCCGGGAATCTCCTGAGATCCTCCTTCCAGACCTCCTGTATGAAGGCGCGGGGCCGCCCTGCTTCTCTGTGGCCTCTCTTCTGCCCCTCCATAACCCCCTGTTTCATCTCCTTCAGCCTTGCGCGACAGCATCGTTTCTCTCCATCCCTCCCTGTCTTTGCTTCTCCTCTTCCCATTTCACCCCTTTCGATGTCCTTCTTACTGTGCAACCCTTCTAGACGGGTGGTTATCTCTGCTCTTCTAGCTGCACAGAGGGCAAAAAACCCGTGATGGAAAAACACCCATGGTGGTGCCGTCATGACTGTGCTTTGCTGGAAAGCAGGAGAAAACCTGAAGTTGGCTTGAAACGTGGCGGTTGGTAACTGCATGAAATGCCCGGGATACTTGGTGCTTGGCTGATGTGAGAAAGCCCATCTGATGCCTGCTGCAAAAGAGAGGAGCAGGAAACACACCATGCTGTAGGAGTACTGTCAGGAAGGTTGCAGCTACCAACAGGTGTTGAACATAACACACCAAATCAAGTAGGTTTAAGAACAATGTGAATATTAGAAATTGTGCTCTTGTGCATCACAGCTGATGGCCAATTTGCAAAATTATTTTTGCCTTAATTTACATTTATTTGAAATTATCCACATTCCAAAAATAATCCACATTCCAGAAAGTGTATACAAATACCTCTGGTACCAGTGGGCATCTACAGAAATGTCAAAGGGAGGTATCCCTCTAAAACATCTGTGACACCAGAACTTAAGGACTCTTACAAACACATAAAATTATGAAAAATAGTGCTAAATGGAATTCATACAATTTTTGAGTTGCTGTTACTGTTTGTTACTTGTACACCTTACTGAAGGAGTAAGTGAGCAGATCCATTGGAGTTAGGATTATTCAGATTATTAATGGGAAGAGGATCGGGAGCTGAGAGAAGGAGAAATAGCACAGATTCTTGATTTTGATAGATAAGTAATTGTATCTAAATACTGTACATGGAATCACAGGCCTATGCCTTACCTCTGGCATAATATTATAATTACATTTTGAAGCAATCCTTTTCATCTGAGTCTCTCAAACATTTTACAAACACCACACCTTAATGAAGTAAGTTATTATCTGCATTTTACATATGCTACACTGAGGCGTTAAGAAGTGACACCATTTAAGATTTAAACTTGAATTGTACTTGACCACATGTAGATAGAGAGCTTTGAGTAACAATCTGGAAGAAATATCAGGTGTCAGAATGAGATGATAAGATGCATCATAGAGCCGCTGTGCTCCGACTTGATAACAGAAAACAGATTACCTGTACTGAGTAGAAAGTTGCAAAAGAGGGTAGCACACATCAAAACTAGGGTTTAAATTATTTGATTTCTGTCCTGTTCTCCCCATGCTGGTCCAGGTGTAAGGATGATTTTTTTAAGGCAATAAATACTGACTTTTGCATCTGTGCCTCAAGGTGGTGTGCTGCCTACCTAAAGTCTTTTAGTCACATTCCTGCTTTGGAGCTGGTTACTTTCACTTTCTTAGGTCTCTCTGCATTTGAAGTAACTTTATTTAGGGACCTTTACCGCAAAGGAAGCAATGTGGCAAGAAGCGTGTACATGCTGACAGGTGGGAAAATTTCGAGGGGAAATTTTGTGTATTGGTTACCTGCAGGATTGGGTCCCCTAGAAGAAATAAAATGAACTAGAAGAAATAAAATCACATTGCTTGCCAGCAAGAGCAAGGTCGGCTCAACAAATTCTGCAAAATGAAATGCATTTCAAATTTACCCAACCAAGAGAAGCTCCCAAAACTGGGAATGATGATGATCATTACTTTTCTTGAGATTACTTAACGCAGTGCTCAATGTCTGTATTAAACTATCAGAGACTGTAGCAGTAGGTGCTTTAAAAAAACAAGCTTCCCAGATATAGCCAGTTCCTGTGAAGAGGTTTCCATAAGCAAATCTGTTTTGTCGATACTACTGCAGCTTTCTAGGACTATTGAAACTTGCAATCTTTACATACATCTTTGTTCCTCAAGAGCTGTCAGGAGTACATGAATTTAGGATTAAAACTAACAGTACATACCTGCTACTTGGGGAGTGATTTAATAAAATACTAAAACTAGATTAGGTGTTACTCAAACTGTTTCAAGGATTGGATGTAAAAATGATACAAATTATTGATTTGGTTCCAAACTCTTTCACTGGTTCTAATTTGTCCAGAAAACTTTGATGGTTAATCTTGTGTCAGTTGTATGTAGGCATTATTATGTATTGTCTTTCTATGCTGCTAGTGAATCACTTTACAGCAATTTTTTATTTCAGAAAAGATGACACCTCTAAATTATATTTAGAGACTTTATTGACTTGCTGTAATGATTTATGGACTCTACCTCAAAAATATTCCCTCTGCTCTGTTATAATTTAATTTTTATACTGGATCCTTCTACAATATCACCAGAATTATTATAATTAATGCTTTACAAAATAGAAACATCTAAAGTACAAATGGGAAATAACTTATTGACATAGAATTGTACCTCAATTACCTTAGCTACCAGTCCTTGTTCTGATCTTGGGCATGTAGCAGCACATCTCTGTGTCTTAGTTTCTTGACTGAAAATTGAGATAATGATAGTGATCTTAAGAAGGTGCTTTTTGATTTCCAGATGAAAGCAATGTATGGGAGAGAGACATTATTTAATTTTTTTTCCCCAAATTGGGGGTTTGACAGGCCTGAATGTTGTCTCAAACCCTTGTGAAGATAAAGCCCAACACCATTCATCTTGACCAAATGGTTAACTATCAGCAGAGGAAAACTGACCTTATCTGTGTCAAAATATAGAAGACATTTATTATGAAGCTGTGCAATGAATTTTAAAGTGTCCTGGCACCTTGCTAGCAAAACCTGTATTAAACATATTTTGAATGTGCTTAAGAGTCTTGTTATAACATGGAAAAATCTCAGTCCTTGTTGGTTGGTGAAACCATGTCATAACCTGTTTCGTATAAAATTGTCTTTAAACTGTGCTTAAGCAACAGCTGGTGGTTTCTCCTGTGAACAGTAGATGATGTTTAATTAGCCTTACAGTCATCTACATTACAGTCAAATCAAAGAATGCAGTTGCAACACATTCCCGATTTGTATTGTAAATGTGACCCTAACTGTGTTCCTAAAATCTCTGTCATGTGCTACAGCTGGATACACTGACCTGATTGTAATGTAAGCAGAAACTTAGTGCACTAGCAGAAATTCCCATTTCTAAAATCATATTAGTTCTTTACAAATAGATACATTTATTGTTTGAAGCTTACTACCAAAAAAAAAAAGTTTACCTCTCTAGTATGCTGTGCTCTCATTAATTATTCTGTTTAATAGTGCTTCTCAAAATCATCTCTTAGAAAAGGAATTTGGATTACACAATTTTGGAAAACAAACCTGTTGCCACCAAGCATGAGCTAACATGTTATAGTACTCTACGGCTTATCTCAAGTAAGCCAGCACCCAGTTTTGTAGTCCAGAAAAAGTCTTGGTTGATTATCTGTGCAAATAAACTACGCTGTGTTGAATATTCTAGTTTGCTTAGAGTTGTATTCTGCCTGAGGACTTATTTAATACCTGTATCTCTTTTCAGCTCTCCAGTAAGGGTTCTAAAATGTGAGTGAGGTAGTGAACTTTTGATTCCACGGCTCCAAGTACTCAGAATGGGTTTTGGATGAGGAATGTAGCTCACTATGCAAGTGTTACTGCTGTCCAAGCTAGGGTAGTCCAATGACAGAATGAATAACATTTTTACAGTTTTCATGGATTACAAATTTGGATACTTTTGAATGTACCATTTAGGTATTAGGTCTTCAGATTTCTGGAAACAGCAGTCTTCTAAACAAAAAACAAAACAAAAAACCCAAACAAACAAACAAAAAAAGAGAAACCAACAAACCAATGGACCAAATCCCTACCTTTTAGCATAAGTTAATTTTTCAGCATGCCTTGAAGTCAGTATACACCACTGATTTGTAGGTGCTTTAGTGGCTGCCTACTTCTGATGATCTTTATGCATCTCAGCATAGATTTATGTATCTGACTGCGGGCACTCCGTTGAAAATATTTTGTTGCCACTTAGAGATAAACGGTTTCTTGAGAAAGCAAAGAGCTAATGTCATAATCTAAAATGTCTTTTGAGTATTGTTGCAAACCTGTGTAACTTGAATTGATAATATCTTCTTATCTCTGTGAAATGG